ATGTCTTTAACAACTGTATACATCCCCCACTTTTTTTTTAAAAGGGTTAAAAAAAAAAAAAAACACATTAAGTAACTGCCTTAAGTAAAATTAAACCTTTATAACACCGAAGAAACCACTCCCAGTATAATAGTTTTGGTAATATGAATATATTAAATGATCATACTTCAAATGCAACTTTTCAACTTAGAATATTTTCACATTGGTCTGTCTAAAAACAAAACCAGAAAGTCTTCTCTGCTTTCAGCTTCCACTGTGACTGTAAGGTTTGCTGACCCTCTGTACCCGCTCTTCTATGCAACACGCTCTAGCGCCACCCGTGACTGACCAAGTGGAAGCAGCTCTAAGAGCTGGGTTGGCAAAAACCTTCTTCACTTGACGCAATGTGCTGTCACTAAATCCAGACACACAGCACTGGACCACAGGATGAGCACCTCGGCTAGGCGGAGTCTGCCTCTTACACAGCAAGGAGTATTCTTTTCCAGGAGACCCAATGTTTTCTGTTTTACTAAGTGAGAACATGAATCATCCCCAACATATTCTGATAAAGACAGCCTCAGGAAAACCAATATTGTAGACTGTCATTTAAATTAAATAGAAGAAAATATATCTGTATTTTCCGGAGTAGTTATTTATGACTTGTGTTCCTTAAAGGAGTCCTTAACACCTGCTAAAACATTTTGGGAGGCTCATTTTACTGGCCAATGAATAATTCAGTTAGTAAGAGAGGCTAGCAAAGAATTATATAAATTTCTTAATCAGCTACAGCCATGCTGAATTGGAACTGGCAAACTCTGATTGGTAAGTTGTTAGTTGTGATCCGTGTGTCACTGAGATGAACGGATTCCATTCTATTAACTTTATATAGATACAGTCTAGAAGACACTGTTCTGCCGTGGTCACAAGTCACAAAAAAGTGGTGCAAAATCAGTTACTTTATAAATACTGATAATTTGCAGCATTAAGGAACAGGACATTAAAAAAAATAAATTTCCCCATAGGACACCTATGACTAGGAGCTCTTCCTAAGAGAAGCCAAAGTTTTAATTATTCAGTTTCACGACTATTGTACTGGATTACTTACTCTAAGAAAGAAAGGGTGGTCTACAGAGGTTCCCCACAAAGCATCAGCACTGATTTAGCATAATCCTTATCATTCACAGATGTGGCAAACAGGACTAGTTTTAAAGGAATACTAGAAGGAATTTTTTAAGGCTCCTCTGTGGCTCCTCCATCCCGCCAGTGCTAAAGTTTTTCCAGTCCCCAAGTGTCTCTCACAGGCCGACCCTCTGCCGTACCTTCCTACGCCACATCCAACCCTCTCTTCACTCCTAACTTCTACCCTGCAACCAGACAGGGCTTTCTAGAATTAAATCTGCTCCATCTAGTGGAACAGGCTTAGAAGCACATCCATGTCAAAGGCTAAGGGAGGAAGATCACAAGTTCAAGGCCTAGAGCAGGCTTGGAATCACATCTATTCCAAAAGTAAAGATAGGAGGACCACAAGTTCAAGGCCAGCCTGGGGGAACTTAGCAAGGTCCTGTTTCAAAACAAAACAAAACAAAACAAAACAAAAAATGCTGGGGATATAGTTCAGTGGTAGGTTATGAGCGAGGCTCTAGGTTCAATCCTCAGTACCAGAAAATAGCAACAGCAGCAACAAAAACTAAATGAGTACATAAATAAACCCTTCCTAAAACCTATCAGGGTTCCACTGCCCAAATTCCTTAGGGCACTAATAAAATAATAACATTTCACATATATCTCAAATGTATTAGGTGCCGGGTGGATCTCTTCTTTGTTACATGCATTGTCTAATTTAAGCCCTTGAAAATCCTTCTATAATATATTATCATCTATGATCTGGACTCCACAGAGGATGCCCAAAGGGTAGGAATTTGCACACCCAGGTAATAAGAGATAAAGGTAGGCCAGACCACTTGCCCTGGTTTCTAGTCTCAACTCCTGCCTATCTTCTTTCACTCTACAGTACCAAAGAATACCAAGTGCTATGCCCTGTGAACAGACAGGCAGTGCTTAACCTGTTCTGGGCCCAGGATGTTCACCACGCTTGGAGCGCTCCTGCTTCTGGTGGACTGGGTGGCAGCCTTCTCCTGGTCAAAGACTTGGCTTGGGCACCACATCCAGCTAGGCCCACTGTACTCTCCTGCAGTCCCAACAAAGCATCTTTGGTTTGGGTTTTCTAAAAGGAGAGGCCAGGTTTTCCTGCCATAGAAGGGGATGCTCCATCCTCTCTGCCCTCCCCCAACCCCCCCCCCCCCGTGAGGATCCAGAGGCTGGGATGAGGGTCATGCGTTTTCTTCAGTGGTGCAGCTATGGTAAAAATTACTCATCCACACTTATGCAAGCAACCATTAACTAAAGTCATTAGGATACACACCCACACACACACCACACACACACACACCACACACACACGCACCACACACACACACACCACACACACACACACACACACAGAAGTATAAAGGGAACTAGTTGGGAAGAGGAAGAAGGTTAGTGGGAGCAGGAAGAGGACAAAAGAGGGGTGACTATGATCAAGATACACATGTGAACAAGCCATAACGTAATAAAACCCATTATATAGACTTAATATATGCTAATAAAAAGAAAAAAGGGCTGACAAGATGGTTCAGAGGTTAAGAGAGCATACTGCTCTTGCAGATGACTAGAGTTCAATTCCCAGTAACCACATTAGGTGCTAACAACCGCCTGTAACTCCAGCTCCAGGGGATCCATGCCCTCTTCTGGTCACCACAGATACATGCCCATACCTACACACAGACCCACACACATATACAAAATTAAAAATAGTAAATCTCTAAAAATACCTTTAGAAACAAAAAGAAAAACAGAGGCCAGACTTTAACCTGCTTTCTTCCCACTTCCTACAGAGTGCAGTTAGCTTACTGAACAAGCACGAGGAGGTAAGTTACGTCCCTTCTTCTCAAGGTCCTTTTCCTCCTCCCTAAAACAATCTAAACAGTCTGACAGCTTTAAAGGTCTATTGTATACGAAGCAAGAAAACCTTTACTTTGTTGTCATACTATCCTTGGACCTTCTTTCCAAAGTGACTTATTAAGCAATCTCACAATGACACAATTCAGCTTTTCAGGATAGCCTTTCCTTCCCCTGCCTTTGCTGTCACCTTCCTTCCTCCACTTTCTCCCTCCTTATACACTACAGAGCATTCACCATGGAGTCGGGCAGTTCTGGCTAGAGCCCTGGCTGCCGCTGAATGGCTGTGAAGACTGGACTCTGTTACTACTTCCTTATCTCTGAAGAGGGAACCTATGTCACAAGGTTATTGTAGAGAAAAAGAGAGTGAGCACTTTAAAGCAGTCAGCAAAGTTCCTGAAACACAACAGACATTCAACAAACTGCAGAGCAGCAGCGACAAATTCAAGTGTGTGAACTGGGTTATGACACTGCTCCTGCGTGGGTTCCCTGTGGAAGGTTCACAGCCTGGAGGAATGCTATATCCTATAGAAGATGCCAGGATAAACACCAAATGGTTTCCTACATGCTCCTTAGGGGAGCTTTAGCCTGAATTCAAGATGTGTGTGTGTGTGTGTGTGTGTGTGTGTGTGTGTGCATGCGCACGTGCGCACGTACTGGGGCTCAAACCCAGGGTTTTGCACACGCTAGGCAAGTACCCCCTGCCCGTATTTTCATTATTCTTGTTGCTATAGTTCACATGTTAATATGCCCAAAGTCCCAAATGTCAAAGGTTTAGTCTCGAACTTCGCACTATTAGGAGGTGGTAGAAACCTTTAAGAGGTGCGGACTAAGGAGAACTTTAGGTCTTCAGGAGCATGGCCTTGAAGATGACTATAGAACACTGATCTCTCTTCCCTACTTCCTGGCTACTATAAGGTAGGTTTCTTGCTCTACCATGTATTCCCCGTGGCTTGTCACAGGCCCCAGCATGACAGCCCTAGCTGATAGCTCTAAAACTGGGAACAAAAGAAAAATTCCTTTTTCAAGTGATCATCTCAGGCATTTTGTTATAACAACAGAATCTGACCAACCAACTCTATTCTTGCTACTTGTCTTGAAATGGATCACGGAGCTATAATGAACTAAACATTTGTTCTATCCAGATATTGTATTAATTCCTTTGGATGCACTAGATTCCACTATTTATTATGTCAACTCGGTAAACAATTTATTGCAGGCAACTCAGTAGGAATTATTATCACTTAATGATGAAAAAGATTGAGCCTTAGAAAAGGCAGCATAAACTCAAGGTCACAGCTAGTTGTCAGTGAAGCTGAGTTCTCACTTCGTGACATGAACACAACACTGGTAATGTGTAGAATGCCATAAAGCATCAATGAATCTCTCTAGAGCTGGAGAAACACTAATTGGAAAAAAGTACCTGAAAGGGAAAAAGTATAAACAATTACTAGCTAATAAACCAAAGAAATAAACTCCAATCTTAATGCCTCACTGGGCGCTTGCCTTCTGTAAAAATGTTCCTCAGAGATGTTCTATGAACTACATAGCTATCGCTATCTTTGCATAGTTAACTCCTGAGTATATTCAGAAGCATCCCAAGGGCACAAGAACAGCAGCACAGAAACCCTGGCCTGGGAGAAGAGGAAAACTCTTCCAGGAAGATACTCAAAGAACATCTGTGTGGGTTTCATGAATGTGAGGAGCCAGTGGAAAGCCTGCTCTGGGGTGTGTGGGATGACACGGCCCTCACAACGGTGTCTTACCAGGGGTGCCGAGCTGCCTGCTCACAGGTGTATCTTTTATTTGGGTCTTTCTCCATCAGATTTCGAATGAAGTCCTTTGCTGTTTAAAAAGAAAGCACAAGAGATAGAAGAGCTGTGATGACAGGATGTATCTGTGTATTTAAGAATACCATTTGAACCATTAAAAACGTGAGATCAACTTTTTGCCTTCCCTACAAAAAAAGACACCAGTATTGGGCAAAAGCAGAGCCCTGGCTGGGACTCCAAGAGTGACCTAGAAAATTAAGAGACAGCAAAGCCAGGCTGGGACCCTGACTCCCAACTCTATGCTCTTTTTTTTTTGTTGTTAGTTGCTGATGATGTGCTTGATCCAGAGAGAAGAGGATATAATCTTTGTAACCACATGCCTCTCTTTAGTCTTCCGCTGCCATTTCTAAGGCTGCTTTGAATGTGTGATAGACAACGATGGTTCTAGTAAACCCACTAAGGAACTGCAAAGGTCATCAAGTCCTGGGCCTGGTATGGAGGAGACCTACCCCTAGGGAAGGGCATTCACATCTCACTTGACTTGTTACCATCTAATAAAAAATGAGGCAGAGGAGCACCAATATGCTTTCTAGGGAAGTGGAGAGGGCTTGGTAGCCATAGACAGGGCAAAGTCCAGAGCAGGTACTGAGAATGTGAGGGACAGGGTCACAGAACCTGAAGATGGAACCTGTTGCACTGCAAGGCATGGCACTCACTGCCCACAGGTCAGAGCTTCTAGAGGGAGGCTCCATCTTCCAAACTCAGCTCTATCTTCTGAACTCAGAAGTCCAACATTCCCCATAGCATTTGCCACTGTAATTTGTAGAATGATATTCTGGGCCCAGGATGTGAAAGACTGAGGAACCAGGCAAGGACATTCCAATTGGGAGGAAGTAACATACATAACAAAAATGATCTGTGTGGAAACCTGGAAAGAGGTTGCACATCATCTCACTTCATCCTTCTACTCCTCTCCTTTGCTGAGGCCCAGGGAGGCTGTACTGCTTCACCTGGCTCTTTATCCCTCAGGGAGGAGACTGGCTTCCCTAGAAATATTTCACTGTGGCTTCATAGCTCAAAAGTGGGCTCTAGAGTACAAGCGGGGGTTTGAAATCTCAGCTCTGCTACGTACTAACTGCATGAATTGAGTCATTATTCCCCCTCCCAGGGCCTTAGTTTCCTCTTCTGTCAGATGTAGATAATACCAATACCCATCTGCTGGGTCATCTTGAGGACTGAGTGAGTTAGCACATGTACAGGGTTTCTAGCACTCAGCTTATAGTTGGTGATCATCAAATGCCAGCTAAAAACATTTGACTCCCAGAATACCCACACCAAGAGAGGGTGAGTTTCCATCCCTCAGCTGGGTCTAATTATATGTTGTAAGCCTGTCCTGAAAGTCACATCCAAGTGTGTAGCTCATAAAGCTTCCTTGGGAGACATCATAGACCAAACAATTCCTCTGTTGAAGTCCTATCTCCCAAGATAAGGGCATTAGAGATGGACCTTTGGGAAGTGATTAGGTCATGTAGGTTGATGTCTCATGAAAGAGATGAGTTTTCTCAAGTAATAGGCCCTAGAGGGCCCCACCTCCCCCTTCCACCAGGTAAGAACACACCAAGAAGACCCATGAACTAGGAAGTGGGCCCTCATCAGACACCCAATGCATTGGTGCCTTGATCTGGGACTCATAGCTTTCAGAAATGCAAAATAAATGTTTGATTGTGTATTTTGTTACCACAGTTCCAGTGGATGAAGACAGGAGCCTCAGAACCATCCTGAAACCCTAGGATCCTTGGACCTATCAGGGTTACATAGTCTGGGTGTAAATATCACAGAGGCCACCCATGGGAGACTCACCAGAATCAGAGATGTCATCCCAGTAGGGGGAATCAAACTCATATTCTGCTTTGAGGATCTGTTCAAAGAGCTTTGAGTCATTTTCATCATAAAAAGGAGGGTAGCCGCAGAGTCTGGAAGACAAAAGGGAGCGGTTTCTGAGTGTGTGCACAGCCACATTAATGGAACCCACACTGCTTGCACTGGAAGTACAATCTCAGCAAGGAACCACATACTCTAATCACATAGGTGCCACAGAAGTGGGATTTTAATTTAAGTAAGCAGGAAAAAGGGTTAACTCCCATCACAAAAGAGGCAAATACTCTTTTCAATTTTTATTTATTAGTGTATGTGTGTGTGTGTAGGTGGGTGTGGGTGTGTATGTGTATGTGTGTAGGTGGGTGTGGGTGTAGGTGGGTGTGGGTGTGCATGTGTATGTGTGTAGGTGGGTGTGGGTATGTATGCATATGTGTGTAGGTGGCTGTGGGTGTGTATGTGTGTGTGTAGGTGGCTGTGGGTGTGTATGTGTGTGTGTGTGTAGGTGGCTGTGGGTGTGTATGTGTATGTGTGTACGTGACACAGTACGCATATAGTTGTCAGAGGACAACTTTTCGGAGTCACTTTTCTCCTTTCACCTTTACGTGTGGTTCCAAAAATTGAACTCAGGTCACCAGACTTGAACAGCAAATACTTTTACCCACAGAACCATCTTTTCAGTCGCCCCATCCCTCCAAATAATGCTTCACACACAGTATTAATTACAATCCCATGCAGTCTAGGAAAAACAAGACAACCTTCCATGCACAGAGACATTTCTGGGCCCCTTCAGGATCATTTCATTTAGGAAGTTATAACAGGAAGAAAAGAAAGTTTTACAACCTGGGTACCTGTTTTGTCCATTACATGCAACAAATACCCACATGAGGTGGCACAGGTCACAACACTGCAGAACCACAATACCCCAGCTACCGTTCCACTGTCCATGTCAAAGATGACTTCTAAAAGGTCTGATTGGGGTGGTGGGACAAGTTACTTATGGATCTGGACAGATGAAGAGTCATCCAACAAATACAATAGGAGTATAAATTTTAATTAAATATAACCACTATAATTCATCCCATAAGATTGTGGATTCTGGGGCTAGGTGTGTATCTCAGTGGTAAAGCACATAGTTAGCAATTTAAAAAGTAACACAAAATAAAATAAAAATATATTAAAATTTAAAAAGCCATGGTTTCTACTCTGTATTCTAATATTTTTAAAAAATATTTTTGGGGCCTAGAGAGATGGCTCAGCAGTTAAGAACACTGGTTGTTCTTGCAGAAGACCCGGATTTGAATCCCAGCACCCACATGGCAGCTAACAACTGTCCGTAACTCCAGTCCCAGGGGATCCGACAGCCTCTTCTAACGTCTGCAGGCATTGCACGACATGGGTGCACTTACCTGCATGCAGGCGATACATGCATACACATAAAAATTATTTATTATTTTTATTTTCTGTGTATGAGTGTATTGCCCACATGTATGTGAGTGTACCTGTGTCATGCAATGCCGCGGAGGTCAGAAGAGGGCTTCGGATTCCCCTGGAACTGGAGTTAAGGATGGTTTATAGCCACCATGTGGGTGCTGGGAATTGAACCTAGGTCCTCTGCAAGAGCAGTCAGTGCTCTTAACTGCTGAGCCATCTCTCCAGCCCCTCTAATGCTACTTTTACTAACAGTGAGTCACTGATGCATTATGGGGATCAAAATTTCCTCATCTGGGAAGCTACTCATACGAACTTACAGCAATGGTAACAGCATGCACAAGACCCATACAAGCTCAAGCCAGACAAAAACCTAGCATATAAGTGGGTAAATGGGTAAGAAGCCCTAGCCTTAGCAGAGGAACTATTGGTAACTGATTACTGGCAGAGGGAGAGATGGTTTCCTTTAAGGGAGTGATGCTAGATAAGTTGACCAGGTTCCCGTGGATGGACTCAACTGAAGGACATTTGAGAACACAAACATGGCTCAATAGGCCTTAACATAAATGACAGAGCATATGGATTGGTGGGAGGGCTATAAGAGGGGTGCAGATAGGTGATGGGGGGGTCAACGTTCCAGCAGGCAGCAACTAATTGGACTTAGTGGGTTTCAAAATAAAGGGAAAGAACATGACTGTTGGAGGGAAACATTGTTGGGGGTTATCTAGTGGGGAGTGGGAGGACAGAGTTGGAAATGGATATGAACAAGACATTATATGAAGTATTAAACTGTCAATGAATAAATAAAAGATATTCTTTTTTAAAAAGAAAACAATTCCTCATCTGAAAATGCAGACAGCCAGACTAGAAAATTCTTAATTCTATTTTGGGTTTTAAGGTACATGACTGTGGCTCCTCTCTTCCAGTTTGTTCAACTGGCTATAACACTTAGGAAAAGACTACAACTTGCCTGGGGCCCATGTGGGGCTTGGGGAGGGAGACCACACAGTCTGAAAGAAGTGGGATGGAGGTTGTAAGTGACCCCAGCAGTGCTTGGTTCTGAAGGCAGAAGACCAAATGCAAAGTTCTATGGTGCAGAACTTCCTTTTGGGGCTAGAGAGTGGCAGTTACAGTGGAGGCCTGACCCCAAACTGAGGCATGGCCTCAAGCCGAGCCCTGAATAGTTTGGTGTTGTTCAAAATACAGCCACAGCCTGAAGATTAGTTTAGTAAGAACAAATGAACAGGCATCCACTGACTGCAGGTCTGTGAGGGATTAGGCTGTCTGCACCTAATAAATGTAATAAAGTTTAAAACAGTCGTGGTCCACCATTCTTCACAAGTTCTGCCACCAGGGGTACAGCACGGCTAGCTGTAGAGAGAAACGGGTGACAAGAGTTGTCAAGCCCAGACACATTCTGTGGGCTGAGATTCCGAATCATCTAAATTCGAGTATGGTTTAGGGGCTGAGTGCTTGGAAAATTTCATTATTCAAGATCTGCTGCTGTGGGCAAAATGAATGGCAGCCAGTGTTTCCCAAACCACCAGCTCATACTTCACTACCCAAGGAAACCCTGGGGCCCAGAGAGATGGGTATGTAAATTTTCCCCATAATAAGGATTTGGGCTAAATGAAATGTGCACGTTAGGAAAAGCTGACGGAACAAAATGTTAGTTTGTCTTGGAAAAAACCCTACATGTTAGATATGTAAGTCTTTTGTTTATTAACAACTGAGCATGTTTTCCTTTACGGTTTGGCTTTCTTTTCAAGAAAAAAATGTTTTGAAAATTCAAGAAAGATTTCCTCGTCTTGTGCTCATTTTCTTAATGTATATTCCAATTTCTTTTTGTCTTTTCTTTTTTTTTCCTTTTTGTATAGAAAGCTGTGTTCATGCAGATGGACTGAGGACAGAGGAGAAAGAAATGAATCTTCCTTGGGGTCTGAATAAAGGTTAAGAAACAGGGGTGCTGGGGAGATAGTTCGGTGAGAAAAGCACTTGCTACACAAGTGGGAGGATCTAAGTTTGAATCCCCAGAACTCTCAGAAAAGCCGAACATAGCAGCATTTGTGCCGATAATTCCAGTGCTCTTATGGGGCAACTGCACGAGGAACTGGACTGCTCATTGTCACTTCCCCATGGGGCAAGTATCCCAGATGTCTTCCATCAGCCATTTTGGAGCCATTCTGCCCTGCCCTGGAGGCCGAACTGCGTAGATAGATGAATAAAGATGGATGGCATTATTGACCTCAGTAGATTCCAACTGATAAAGACTACAACAGAGATGCTAACGGAGGGAGGGAATCAAAGACAGGTTATCTACTGCCCTGGGCCTCTAATCTGGCTCCTGGTTGATGTTACTTCTGGAAGACAGGCCCCTACTCCTCTCCTGGGAGCAGATTCCATAGGGTTCTCTCTCTTATTCTGGTAAATCATGTCTCCCTTCCCTCATCCCCTTTGGTCTAGGGGTATTTATAGCTCTGTGGCTGCAAAGTCCAGGGTCACGGTGCTGTCTCTTGTGGTCTCTTGACATCACTACTGAATATAGAGTCCTTGTACCATCTTCATTTTAAAGCAAATAAACTAGCAGTATTCAAAGTCAGGACCCCAGCCCAATCCTTCTGACTCAAAGTCTATGTTCTTCACTGTTGGGCTTAATCACTAAAGAGGAAAAGACTTGAGGCTTGAACCTCTCACTTCAGCCTTGACTTGGAAGTCTGTGTAGGTCATTTGGTCTATACTCACCCAACCCCTTCATCTGGAATAACAACACTGGGGTAGACCCTTACCTCTCCAGCTTCATCTTATTCACTCTGGAGTGTGTTCACCAAGATGCTTCAAGCTGGTTTCCGACATACATGTTATTTCTTGTTTCTGGACCAATGTAAAGTTGTGAACTTTTTCTGGATTGCCTTTTGCTTGGCTCTGCTACATCCTTGAAAACTAGCTCAGGTGTAAAAGGAGAACTGACCTCTGTTTGGTGCTTCATAACATGGCCCCACAACTATAGACAGGGGTCCATGGTGCCACATTCTATACTGGGCACAACTCTGGCCTATCTACAAGCTCCTACAGCAGGACCTATCCTTTGCCACTGGACTGTCAGTGTCTGGACCAGGACCTGCCCAGAGTTCATGCAAGATAAATACTTGATAATATGGCCGTATTCTGGCTGGGCTAAGAAGCAAAGATAACAACCCAAGAAGAGAGCTCACCACTTCCCCATATCCGAGGACCCAGGGAAATCTTAAAGTGCCCACCCAACCCGATACTTCTTGCACACTCCCTCTACAGGAGATGGTAGAAACTATTCAGACATTCCTAAAGAACTCAGTTGGAAAGCCTGCTTCTGAGGGTGAATGGTCTGTCTTTGTGGAAAGAATATGGTATGGTTTGGGTTCCCCAAATGGTCTCCTAGATATGTACTTGATCCATGAGGAAGATAAAGTTTCCCAGGAAGAATATTAACATGAATGGGTTAAAAATCAATAATGAGTGGCTAGCGGTGGCTGATCTGGCAGTGTATAGTTTTTCTTGGAAACTGAAATGTTACAACAGCATAGAGATCCTGTCAAGAGGCCTATGAGCTTAGTTAGTTCTTAGTTTATGTTCTTTGGCTATTTTGCCTTTGGTCGTGGATCTAGATCCTTGTAAAAGATGATGTCTGCTG